GAGTCACACCATTTGTGTCTTCACATATGTACCTAGGCTAATAATGTTCATGTCATTCCACTATCTTTCCTACCTTGATGGCCCCTCCCCTTCACTTCCTCCCTTTTGCCCAATCAAAGTTCCTCCATTGTCCCCATGCCCACTGTCCTCCCAACCATTATGGGTCAGCATTCACTATCAGAGAGAACATTCGGCTTTTGGTTTTTTTGGGAATTGGCTTACTTCATTAGTATGATATTCTCCAATTCATCCATTTACCTGAAAATGCCATATTTTTATTCTCTTTTAATGTTGAGTAATAATCCATTGTGTATATGTACCATAGTTTCTTTATCCACTCATATATTGAAGGGCATCAAGGTTGGTTCCACAGTTTCTATAGTGAATTGAGCTGCTATGAATATTGATGTGGCTGTGTCACTATAATATGCTGATTTGAAGTCCTTTGGGTAGAGACCGAGGAGTGGGATTGCTGAGTCAAATGTGTCCATTTGGTTCCATTCCAAGTTTTCTAAAGAATCTCCACACTACTTTCCATACTGGTTGTACCAAGTGCAGTGTCACCACCAATGTATGAGTGTACATTTTCACCCACATCTTCACCAGCAGTTATTATTGTTTGTATTCTTGATAATTGGCATTCTGACTGGAGTGAGATGAAATCTTAGAGTTGTTTTGATTTGCATTTCTCTAATCACTAGAGAAGTTGAACATTTTTTTTTAATATATTTGTTGGTCCGTTGTATATCTCCTGAGAAATGCCTGTTCGGTTCCTTAGCCCATTTATTGATCCAGTTACTCATTGGTGTTAAGGTTTTTATATATTCTGAAGCTTAGTGCTCTATCTGATATGTGTGTGGTAAAGATGTTCTACCATTCTGTGGGCACTTTCTTCACATTATTGATTGTTTCCTTTGCTGTGAAGAAGCTTATTACTTTGAATCCATCCCATTTATTAATTCTTTATTTTATTTCTTGCACTTTAGGAGTCTGGTTAAGGAAGACAGGACCTAATCCAACATGATGAAGATTTGGGCCTAATTTTTCTTAAATTAGATCCATTTGGATCCTTATACCTCAATTTTCTTCCTACAATTCTGTATATTTCCATTCATTTCAGCGGAGTTTGCCTTATTTCTGGGATGATTTTTATTATAGTTTCTCTCAAACCTTTATGAGAGAAAGTCAACACCTCTGTCATCTTCTGTCTTTCATGGACTGCTGCAGTTTTATGGATAATTTTTCTGTCAAGATTTTTACATTCCATCATGGACTGATGCAATATTATTTTATATACCTCTGTGTCTCTTTCAAATCATATTTTAATATTTCTTATTAGTGGACAATATACCCAGATAAGTTTAGAAGACAAGTTTAGAACTTCTGTGCATGGATGATGACTGCTATTGCAGTTTCACAAGCAAAAGGTTTGCAATAATATTCTTATCTATGCTGTGTGTGTACCATGCAATCTCCCACCTAGAAACTGTGAGGTGGTCTATCCCTCAAAATCCTATTTCCATCCTATCTATCTTCTTCAGCATCAGATCTGTGCAGTGAATTGCAGAGTTGAATCCAGAAAGTCATAAGAAATTTAGAGAATTGATTTCCTAGCCTTATTTCTTTTCTTCCCATTCTCCATTTACTCCCCCCCCCACACACAAACACACTGTTAAAAGAATGTGCATTGTTTGAGCATGTGGATCAGTTGGTAGGCCACTTGCCTCGCATGCACAAAGTCCTGGTTTTGATCCCAGTAGTATGAAAATAAACAAAACAAATAAAAAATGGAAAACTATGTTTCTATGCACATGCTGTACTATGCATACGTCTAGGGTTAATACCAAAAAGACATAGAGAAACAAAATCAATGCAAATTCATATCATTCTTATTATAATGTCCTCCTACACTAGTGTGATTAGGTCATTCCTACCTCCATGTGACTGTTTTCAATGCAGGAAAATGTCTTAGAGACTAGTGTGTTTAGAATGGACTGTAGAAAAAATACACAAAAAGAAAAACATGATTTCTCATTTATATTCTGTGCATAATGAATAATCTTCCTCATGATGCCAGCATGAAAGAGGAAGTTGTGTGTCTCACGGGGGAACCCTTCCAGTCCCAGGACTGCTGGAAATACTGGTCTGGAGTGACAAACAAAAAACTAACCTCTGAACCAGTGGCACATCAATATCCCATCATCCTATCCTTCCTTCTATGATTTGTGCTTTAAAGTTCACACATAGCTGCTCTATGCATTCTGAGCAGATTTTCCCTTTTATCTCCTTGATATAGAGGAAAACAGTAGAATGTGTCTTATTTAACACACATGGAAACAAATGATATTAATACCATTTTCACTATGGAAATTCAGTCACCATGAACCAAGGAGATCTATATAATCAGAGCAGTCAACTCTGGATGATAGATTTTCAGGAATTGCTTGAAGCAGAGCATGACTTGGTTACATTATAATCCCTCATCTTCCTGGGCATGAGTGTCCTGGGTCCAATAGTGAAGCTGACACAGTTGGCCTCAGTTCTCAGCTCCAACCACACTCATTTCTGGGTGACAATGTTCATGATAGAGAGGAGCATGTGATGTTCCCTGAGGGATACACACACACACACACACACACACACACACACACACACACACAAACACAAACACACACACCCTTCCATGTAGAGAACTAAAAAGTGCTGGCTCAGCAGCCCCAACGTTGCAGAACTTATGCCCTAAGGATAGATGATCAAGTCAGGGTCCCAAATGATTTTGGGTACAGGGTCCAGACCTCACTAGGTCCTTGGCTTCCTGTACTGGGCCAGGGATGGATACCTGGCCCTCTTTGTTCCAGCTCCTCCTCAGAAACATCCCCAGGCTTCTCCCCCTCTTTGCAGAACCTGCTTCCCTCCCATCACCCTAAGTGCCTTCTTCAACTCTATGGTCTTCCCTCACAGTGCTCCTTATCCAAGGTCTCACCTCTCTACACCCAGTCTGTATTCTCAGGAGCAAATCCACAGTACCTGGATCCTGCCTTGTCTCTGAAATAAGTCCAGATAATGTTGCTGGTGTAAAACCCTGAGAATAAGCCCCACATTCTCCTCAACCTTCAGGACTTGGCATTTCCTATCACAGATACCCCACGTGGCTTTCAGTGTCATGTGCTCACTCAAGAAGGGAGTGGGCCAAGGTGCAGAGAGAATCAGCAGGAACCAGACCAGTCCAGCTCAGCACAGCACAACACAATAGAACAGAGAAGACTCACACTCCCAACAAATTCTCCAGCTCCAACCTGGACACAGCCTTATTCTCACCACCAACCTGCAGACTGAGCTGGGCTCCTGGTGACAGTCATGACATGATAGGAGGCAGCGATGAGTTGTGTGGGACAAAATTCCTGGGGCATAGTGTGACCCTCATCTTTCCACCTCCCCATTCTTCCCCTTAAATGGTTAGGACCTAAATTCAGGGTTCTTGTGTCAACTTCTTTTCATGACATTACTGATCACTTTTTGGGGCTACTGAGTCTTTCTTGGTCCAAATATTACCTGATATGTAATGGGGGAAACTATATTGACATTTGGAAACTGGATTTTCAATCATAAATGGCATGAATCAATGAAATAGTCTCATTTATTAAAGATGAATTTATTGTGTCCCAGGTCTTGGTATCTCTTGTTCTTCCTCAGTGAAAATCCAAGAAAAAGAGATCTGAATAAATAGTGTTTTCTCCATCATGGGTTCAAGACCTCTAGAATCATTTTTTTTAATTTGTACAATGTTTATTGACAGAACTGCCTGTGATATTATTAATGATTATGATATTTAAAGGTATGATTGATGTAAGCTGACTTTGATAAACAGTGAATAGCAATATATGTAATGATTTGGGTTACATGGTTATAGCCAAAGCAATCCTTTCTGCAGTTTTACAGGCAGGAGATGCCCAGGATTAACAATGAGCATGTGAGACTGGATTACAAATCTTTCCCCATAAACTATGAGGTTTGTGATGAAATAAAAATGTGATAATATAAATGGTGATGAATGATGATGATAATGATGATGCAAGGGTACTTCTGAGTTTTAGTACAGAAACATCCTGAGCTCCCACTGACCTGCAGCATGTCTCATTGCCATGGGACAGCACCATTCCCGGCTACAAATACACAGGAGGCTTTCTCAATAGTCAGCATTCCACTGGGAACTTTTCTGCTTCTTCAGAAAAGCTGAGAAGCATACTTTCTCTAAAGAAAACAAATCACAAAGAAGGGACTTTTCCAGGGACAGAGTAAAAAAAAAAAACTGCACAGTATTTGCTTGACTGCACCTCAGGGATGCCACTTCTCTGTGCAGTGCTTGGCAAGGTAAGGTGTGTGCAGCTCATAGAGTGAGGCTGTACACCGCTACATGTCATTTCAGGTGACATAAGCTTTGGAGTCACTGGAGGAGCAAGCTACTGCTTCTAAGGTTCCTCCACCAGCAGAGGGAAGTAGAGCTATAGTCAGTAGCAGCCAGAAGAGCCTGGGTTAGCAAAAGAGGAAGCCAAATGGAAGGCCATCCAGGTGGATCAACAGGTCTCCAGGTCATAGTACTTGTAGTGAAAGTCCCGAGCATCCATTATATGCCTGGGCAGCAGGGTACATATTATGATGATCATACCCACACTGTGTCCCCACAGCACTGGCAGGAACCTGGAACCTGTGAGGGCCTCACCTGGAGAATGCCATGGAGGAGACTGGTTCCTGGTCTCAGCCTTGGCAGTTGCCTGAGACAATGGAGAAACAATACCAAGGTCTCTCTAGGAGGGAGTTCAGTGTGAGGGGATGGAACTTGAGGGTCTTTGTCCTTCACCCAGGACAGTGGCCCAGGTGTCTTGTTCAATCCAAGAATACAATCTCCTACTCTTCAGCAGTGGTATATAAACTAATCTCCCTGTCCTTGGCACTTCCAAAGATGCCTGCACCTTTTTCCTTGCCTCTTCTCTCACTTCCAGGCAGATCTGCACAGAGGGCTGCAGTTCCTGTTCTCAGATGTAGTCTTAGGTGTGGATTGCACTCAGGCCCTGATATACATGAAGCATGTGCACCTTCCTTTAGGAAATTCTGCAGAATGAGCTGGACAAACCACCTGACTCAGGTCACCATCTGATTATGAGGCTGACTTTAGCTCAGTGACAGAATCCTCCTAACTGGAGAAAACCTGACCACTGGCCCTCCTGACCTCAGCCCTGTTCAACTCTACCATGTACTGAGAACCTTCACCGAGACCCAGGGACCTGAAATATGTTTCTTAGGTATATATGATTTCCAGAACTTAACAATAGTCTGTCCAACATTGGTGAAAATAGAAAAGAACACGAGAAAGAACGTTCCAGATAACATTGCTAATGTACTATGGGAAGGGAGATGTCCTAGAAAGGGAGCAAACACAATGTTAAACTGAGACTAGAGCAAGGTGTAGTCACACACTCCTGTAATCTCAGCAGCTCAGGAAGCTGAGGCAGGGGGATTATGAGTTCAAAGACAGCTTTATCAACTTAGGGAGGCCTTAAGGAAATCAGTGAGATCCTTTCTCTACATAAGTATATTTCTTTAAAAAAGGACAGAGAATATGTCTCAGTGGTTAAGTGCCCTGGGTTTAATCCTCAGTACACAAGAATTAAACAAACAAAAAATGAGACTAGAAATTATGATGAACCAAAAAAGCCAACCATTGTTTCCTGCTAAACATGTCTTGTGAGAAATGATTAAAAGAAATCCTAATGACACTGGATCACATTCTAATGAAACAAATAATGGATATAAGGAGATAGAGGAGCCAAAGAGGAAAAGTAATAGAAAGACAATGGTCCATATTCCACCTGTTATGCTCGAATTCGGGACCTCCAAAAGACCACCAGAGACCAAGATTGATGTAAGCAGCAAAGAGGTGTTTATTGTGAGCTAGCTCAGTCCTCCATGTGTACACAGCAACTGGTGACACTGAGAGGCCCCAAGCCCAGGGTTTGCAGCAGTTTTATACACTCTTTGGGGAAGGCAGGGACTTCACATACATCATAGCATCTCTTAG